TGCTCCAGCCCCTCTGACAGCCCCCCTGTCTCCCCAGGTCCGATGGATGATGTACTGGATCGTCTTCGCCCTCTTCATGGCCACMGAGACCTTCACCGACCTCCTCATCTCCTGGTGGGTGACTCTGGGGGTCCGAGACSCACAGACACCCCCCAGCGCTGATATTTTGGGGTAACACGAGGTGCCTTTGGATCCCCCAAATCTCCTGTCCCATTCCACCAGGTTCCCCTTCTACTACGAGGTGAAGATGGCTTTTGTCATCTGGCTGCTGTCCCCGTACACGCGTGGGGCCAGCCTGCTCTACCGCCGCTTCGTGCACCCCACGCTGAGCCGCAAGGAGAAGGTGAAAATTCCTGATATTTTGGGGGTCCTCCCTGCCCATCTGGGGGGGTTCAGCCCCMTGAGTTGGGTTGGTGATGYYYCAGGATGTGGCAATGCCCTGGGAGGTGGCAGTGGCCCAGGATGTGGCAATGCCCTGGGAGGTGACAATGCCCTGGGAGGTGACAATTCCCTAGAAGGTGACAATGTTCAGGGAAGTGATGGTGCCCAGGGATGTTGTGATGTCCCTGGAGGTGACAATACCCAGGAGGTGACAGTGTCCCGGGAGGTGACCATGCCCCGGGAGGTGACACTGCCCTGGGAGTTTGTGATGTCCCTGGGGGTGACAATACACAGGATATTGTGATGCCCCAGGGGGTGACAGTGCCCCAGGGGGTGACACTGCCCAGGGGGTGACACTGCCCCAGGGAGGTGACACTGCCCTGGGAGGTGGCAGTGCCCTGGGAGGTGGCAGTGCCCATGGAGATGACACTGCCCCAGGTGGTGACAATGCCCCAGGAATGTCGTGATGCCCCAAGGTATGTCATGCCCAGGAGGTGACAATGCCCCAGGAGGTGACACTGCCCTGGGAGGTGACAATGCCCCAGGGAGGTGACATTGCCCTGGGAGGTTGTGATGCCCAGGGATGTGACAATGCCCCAGGAGGTGACAATGCCCCAGGAATGTCGTGATGCCCCAAGGTATGTCATGCCCAGGGGGTGACACTGCCCCAGGGGGTGACACTGCCCCAGGAGGTGACAATACCCTGGGAGGTTGTGATGCCCCAGGAGGTGACACTGCCCCAGGAGGTGACAATACCCTGGGAGGTTGTGATGCCCCAGGCGGTGACAGTGCCCCAGGGGGTGACACTGCCCCAGGAGGTGACACTGCCCCAGGAGGTGACAGTACCCCAGGACACGATCCTGCACACCCAGTGCCACCCTGCTTGTCTCTGCAGGACATCGATGCCTTCCTCATCCGGGCCCGGGAGCGCGGCTACCAGACCGTGCTGCGCTTCGGCAAGCGGGGCCTCAACCTGGCGGCCACCGCCGCGGTCCAGGCGGCCACCAAGGTACCCAGGGAGGAACCCCCACCCAGCAGGGTGGCAGCACAGGGCACTGTCCCCTCAATTGGGGTTTTACTGATCCTCTGTGTTCCCCACTGCAGAGCCAGGGCGCGCTGGCCGGGCGGCTCCGCAGTTTCAGCATGCAGGACCTGCGCTCCCTGCCCGAGCAGRACCCCGTGCACTTCCAGGACCCGCTGTACCTGGAGGAGCAGGAGAGCCTCCGCCAGCCCCTGGGTGAGGATTTGGGGGGTTCCTGGTGAAGGAGGGGTCCAACACAGCCTGCAGTGGCCATTCTGGGAGCTGGCGTGTCCCCTCTGTCCCCAGCCTACGGCAGCGGCCGGCGCTACGAGAGCGACACGGAGGATGAGGAGATGTGGTCGGACTCGCAGGTGTCCCCTCCCTCGTCCCCACGCCGCCATCCCAAACCCCTGTCCCGCAGCCAGAGCCTGCGATCCCTGAGGAAAAACCCGGCAAAAGAGGTACCGTGGGAGTTGGGCACAGGGTGGGGGGCGTGGGGCTGGTTTGGGGGGTCCTGACCTGTCCCTTTCCCTGCCCAGGGCTCTTCCCGGCTCCTGCGCAGCCGGATTAGGAGGAAAGCAGCTCAGGAGGAGCAGGACGACTGAAAATCCTGGGAAACTTCTGCCAGGAGGCTTCGGAGGAGTTTGCTGCTGCAGTGTCAGGAGGGAGCCGAGACTTCTGCATCCCCCGGGGTGGCTCCTGCATCCCTTGGGATCCTCCTGCATCTCCCGGGGGTGGTTCCTGCATCTCCCCGGGCGTTTCTGAATCCCTCGGGATCCTCCTGCATCCCCCGAGGGTGGTTCCTGCATCCTTTGGGGCGGTTCCTGCATCCCCTGGGGAGGCTCCTGCATCCCTTGGGATCCTCCTGCACCCCCGGGGGCGGCTCGTGCACCCCTCGGGATCCTTCTGCACCCCTTGGGATCCTCCTGCATCCCCCGGGGGTGGTTCCTGCATCCTCCGGGGCGATTCCCCCATCCCCTGGGGCGGTTTCTGCATCCCTTGGGATCCTCCTGCATCCACCGGAGGCATTTCCTGCATCCCCCAGGGCAGTTCCTGCATCCCTCGGGATCCTCCTGCATCCCCCTGGGGTGGATTCTGCATCCCCCGGGGCGGCTCTTGCATCCCTCAGGATTCTCCCACATCTCCTGGGGCAGTTTCCGCATCCCCCAGGGGCGTTTCCCACATCCCTGGGGCGGTTCCCGCATCCCTTTGGGATCCTCCCACATCCCCCGGGGATCCTCACACTGTAAATCCCTTCTGTGACCTCCGCGGTGCCTCTTGGAGGGGGGAGCAGCTCATTTCCCCTCCTCCAGACCCCCCAGCTCAGCGCTGGCGCCTCCCCTGTGGGGTCTGACCCCTTTTCCCCGCCATCCCATGGACACTACACGCTCCCCCCCCTCCTGGTGCCTTATTCCCGATATTCCCATTCCCCTGGGAGCCAGGAATGGATGTGCCTTGTCCCTCTGAAGCCAAAGCCATGGTCCCTGCTCGGGGCCCCCCCAAACACAGACTGACACCCCCATACTTGAACCCGGACTGCCGGGCACCACACGGCTTTTAAACATTCCCCTCTCCCGAAAAGAGGGTTTTGTACATGGAAAAATAAACGTTGTTTCAGACTTTGGGAATCGGGAGTTGTTTCTGGTGTTGTCCCCTTCCACAGCAAACTTCCTGAATTTATTTTTTATTTATTTCTTCTGGAGGAAGCTGTATCCTTCAGGATCCATCCAAAGCTCCTTGCAGGCGTTTCTCAGAATGTTTTCACCCCTCTTCTGGGGTCCCAGGCAGCAGCCCCAGGCTGAGATTTTTTCCCAATCCCGATTTTTTTTCCTTTGGAGGAAGCTGTACCCTCTGAATCCATCCCTGACTCCTTCCAGCCATTTCCCATAGGTTTCCCCCCATATTTCAGTTTCCAGAATCCCAGACAGCATCCCCACACTCCTCCAGGGAAACTTCCCGAGATGATTTTCAATTTTGGAAGCATTTCCATCCTTCGGAACCCAGCCCCCTGCTCCTCGGGGATATTTTTTACCCCTCCCTTTAAGGCTCTTGGTGACATTTCCAAATTTCCCGCTGCAGTAGCCGCGTCCCCCACGGCGTGGCAGCAGCAGCCGGGGACACTCGGGGACATCGGGGACATCCCGGCAATGTCCCCCCATCCCACTCCGCCATCCCCAATTCCTTCCCGGGGGTCTCCTCCCGTCCTGGGTGGGCGACTCAAGGCTCGGACGAGGTGGCACAAGGTGRCAGTGCCCGCCTGTCCCGCGGTGCCCCCGCTGGCTGGCACCAATCCCTTCGCTCCCAATCCTCCGTGCCCTCGCCACTGGGGCCAGCTGTATTTTTAGCCCTTGGCTACCGCCCGCTTTCGGGGGTCTTGCCAGGGCAGGGAGAGCGTCTGTGCCCCGGCCGGGCCGGGTTCCGCGGGGCGTCCCGGGCCAGGCAGGGGTGTTGGAACAGATTAGGTGGAGGTGGCTGGATTAGCCCCGTAAAACTGCCCGGGAGACGATTACTTAAAGCAGCGGAGAAGGAAGGCTGGGTGGGGACAGCGAGGGCCAGGGGGCTGCCTGTAATCCCCTAAAGCCGCTTAGGGAGCGCGGTTCCTCCAAGGATACGGCCCGGGGAGGCTGCTGGGGCGATCTGGGGGTCAAAGAGGGGGGTTTTTACAGTTTTGGGGTACCCCCAGGTGTGTTAAATATGGGGGAGCAGCGTTGGGAGCTCAGGATTCCATCCCCAGGGTGAGGGGGSTGAGGGATTCCCAGCTTGGGGAAACTGAGGCACAACASCGGCGCCTTCCGAGGGGGGRAAAAGGRAARGAACCGGGAGTTTTGGCRTCCGGCTTTTTGTAAATCCGTGTGSTCCCCAGGGGCTGAAACCCAAGGAGGGGACGGGAGCCAGGCGGGATGGCCCCAGCSCGTCCCCCCGGGGCCGAGGCAGCTCCGGCGGTGCCAGCGCTGATCSCAGCTGTGTCAGCGCACGGGCCAGTGCCAGGCTGCATCAGCAAAGCCCTAATCCCCCCCTCCCCGGCTCTCCTGGCACCGCCCCAGCGCAGCAGTTTAAGCGCCTGACCTGAGCTCGCCCGCTGCCGCGGTGCCCTCCGGGGAGGGGGTGCCAGGCTGAGCCCCGGCTGGCACCGCTGCGGGGACCCTCCCGACCCATCCCGGGGGATTTGGAGCCGCTGGAGTGCGGGGAAATGGGGCTGGGGGTTGTAGGAAATCACACGATCCTGGGGAGGGGTTCATGGGTCAGGGAGGGGGTTGTGCCCCTGTGCCCCGCTCTGCTCGGCTCTGGTGAGACCCCACCTGCAGCTCGGGGGTCCCCAATGTCACAAGGACGTGGAGCTGCTGGAGCAAGTCCAGAGGGGGCCACGGAGCTGCTCCGAGGGCTGGAGCCTCTCTGGAGCCACGCTGGGAGAGCTGGGGGTGCTCACCTGCAGAGGAAAAGGCTCCGTGGGGACTTCAGAACCCCTTCCAGCACCTAAAGAGTCACCAGGGATGACCCTTCCAGGACCTAAAGGGTCACCAGGAGAGCYGGAGASGGAYTGGGGACAAGGTCCTGGAGTGCCAGGACGAGGAATGGCTCCCTGCCTGCATCCCTACGAGCTGCCAGGGATCCGGGTGACGCAGGGCTGTTCCCTCTCTGTCCCAGCTGACAGGGACACGGCTGACGCTGCGGTGCCAACCTCGGGCACGGGGGTGCCCCYGGGGGTGTCACAGCCTGTCCCTGGAGGGGATCCGGTGCCCGGGGTGCCATGGATGGTGTTACCCCGGCTCTGCTCCGTGCCCGGGCAGCGGGATCGTTACCCCTGAATGGGATTTATCACCCCGGGGAGCTGCTGGGAGTTTGGGGTGCCACCCTCAGCAGCACCCCAAGAATCATCCTCACCCTACGTGGTTGGGAGGGCAGACTGAGCCTCCCTAAACCCTCCCTGGTGACCCCGAGTGACCCACCCACGCTCCCGCAGCCCCCCTCTTTTTCCCCTGCCCCATTCATTCCCAGCTCCTTTTACCCCCGGGGGGATCTGCCTTTTTGCTGTGGGATGCTCTCTCCACCCCTGCACTGCCCTTCTCTCCCTTTTAGCTGCCGTTTGGGGGTCCCAGGTGGGGTTCAGACCCCTCCCCGGTGCCCACGGGGCTCCCCCCACGGCTGTGCCCTGTCGGTGGCCGCTGCCTGAGTCAGCTGTTCCGGGCGGGAGCCATGTGAGGCCGCGCACACATGGCTCCCCGCGCGGCACCGCGCTGTATTTTTAGCAGACGGTATCAAAAGCATAATTATGTCTGTTGTTTAAACGCAGCCTCTTTTCTGGCAGCCCCGGGAGCTCTCAGCTGCCTCCCGCCGCAGAGGGCAGGGAGGGCGGGACGAGGAGCCGCGGGCGGGGGGTTCGGGGGGCCCGGGGGGTGACATCCCCTCCCTTCCCCAGCGCCGCCGCGCAGGTAAGACCCTCCCCCCGCTGGTTCTGGGGGGGCTCCTCCCGCGCCCCCACCCCGTTTTTACATGTCCCCAAGCTGCCGGTGAGGCGCTGGTGAGGATGAGGATGAGGAGGAGGATGGCGAGGAAAGGGATGGCGGGTGGGAAGCGCGGTGGTGGCGGGAGGGGTCGGGAAAAGGGCGTTCGAGGTGACGGGAGTGTGGGAGGACACGGCTGAAGGAACGCGGCTGCATCGCCCCCTCCTCCCCGCAGCCGCCTGTCCCCCCGGGGACCCGTCTGTCCCCAGCCAGCCCGCGCTGGCACCGAGGAAAGCTCCGGCTCCGTGTCCCTGCCGTGACACCACGGGAGCCGGGCTGAGCATTTTGGGGAGCCGGGCAGGGGGGACACCGCCTTCAGGGGGTGTTGGGGACCTCCTTCAGGGCATCAAGGGAAACTGAGGCACGGCATCTGCAGGAATCAAGGGAAACTGAGGCACGGCATCAAGGGAAASTGARGCACGGCATCTGCGGGCACCAAGAGGAACTGAGACACGGCATCAAGGGAAACTGAGGCACAGCATCAAGGAAAACTGAGGCACGGCATCTGCGGGCATCAAGGGAAACTGAGGCACAGCATCAAGGGAAACCGAGGCACGGCATCAAGGGAAACTGAGGCACGGCATCTTCGGGCATCAAGGGAAACCGAGGCACGGCATCAAGGGAAACTGAGGCACGGCATCTGCGGGCATCAAGGGAAACTGAGGCACAGCATCAAGGGAAACTGAGGCACAGCCTCGCCGGCCATCCCTCCCGAGTGCCTTGTCCCCGAGGCGGGATCCGTGTCACCGCATCACCTGCCTGTCACCACGCGGCGGGGCAGGAGCCCCCGGCTGCTGCCAGGTAGGTGCTGCCAGGAGCGCGGGCAGCTGCCAGCCCTGCCTGTGCCGCACGCAGGTGGCAGCGGGCTGCCCGTGTCCCTGGCTGCCGTCCCTAAGCCCTTGGCCCCGGGGTGAGCTTTTAATTACATCAAGGTATTTGAAGCTGGTTCCTGGCGCTGGGTAAACAGGAGTCCCGGGCACGTGGAGGAGGGGGCGAGGGGGTGGCACAGGACGGGCACCGTGCCCCCGCAGCGGGGCTTGCCGGGACGGCTCGTCCTGCCCGTCCTCCCCSCGGGCAGGGAAGGAGGGATGCGGGCACGGCGGCATCCGGCAGCGTCCATCGCCTCCGGCTCCTCCTGCGTGCCCCCGGGCATCCCCCGGCCGCCCGAGGGGGTGGCACTCGGCCATGGGGGGCACCGGCAAAGGTGGGTGGGCTGCGACATCCCGCGGTCCCCTCTGCTCCTTGCCGAGCTCCGCCCCGAGGCCGTGCAGCGCTCCAAAGCCGCCCGGGGAAGGGGCGAGCTGGGCCGGGGAAGGGGCGAGCTGGGCCGGGGAAGGGGCGAGCTGGGCCGGGGAAAGGGCGAGCTG